CCAGTTTAATGGGAAATTCTACTTTGACAAAGCAATGCCAATGGGGTGTTCAGTTTTTTGTGCTGCATTTGAGACATTCATCACTTTCCTCCATTGGTGTGCTGTTAAGAGAACCTGTAATAAGGCTATTGCTCATTACCTTGATGATTTGTTATTGGCAGGTTCTCCTGATTCCTATCAATGCCATAATACTCTAGTCCAATTTCAAGAATTGATGCAGGAATTGGGTGTGCCTCTGACCGAGGAGAAGACAGAGGGTCCTCACACACAATTAACCTTTTAGGGCATTGAAATAGACACTATTGCTGGAGTTTCTCATTTGCCTTCTGAGAAATTGGTGGCCATGAGGCAGCAAGTCCAAATTATGTTAAATAAATGGAAAACTACCCTGCATGAGTTTCAATCACTTACAGGCTTATTAAATTTCACCTGCAGGGTGGTAGTCCCAGAACTAGCATTTTGTGCTAGACTTTACAAGGCTACTGCAGGTTTAGTGGCTCAGCATCACCACATTAGAATCACAAGGGGCATCCATGAGGATCTTAAGGTTTGGCACTCCTTTTTGGAGTACTATAATGGTATATCATTTTTGAGAACTGAAATGTTGCTTTGTGAAGACTTTCAGGTGCATTCTGATGCTGCTGGTGCCCAAGGCTTTCGAGTTTTCTGGAATGGCCAGTGGGCTGCTGAGGCCTGGCCTCCTGCATGGGTGGAATCTAGTCTTACCAGGAACCTTACTTTTGTGGAATTTTTTTCCAATTGTTGTTGCTGTACATTTATGAGGTAGCCACTTTGCTAATAAGACTGTTTGGTTTTGGTGTGACAACCAAGCGGTCGTACATGTGGTAAATTCGCAGTCCCCAAATCTCCTAAGGTGATGAGTTTGGTGAAGGTAATGGTTTTACAATGTTTAATGTTTTGTTTAGAGCTCACCATGTTCCTGGTTTGCTTATCCCTTTGGCAGACTCCCTTTCTCATTTTCAGCTTACCAGGTTCTGGCAGTTTGCACCCCAGGCTACTTTACACCCACTAGAGGTACTGACATTTCTCTGGAACCTTGGAGATTAGAAGTTCGCAGGGCAATGATGAATTCCATTGCCCCGTCAACACGCAAATCTTATCAAACTGCCCTAAATTCTTTTAGCCAATTCATGTGTGAGATTGGGGAAGAAATATCATGTGGATTTGTTACTTCATTTTATAGTAACTCTCAAGCAATTGGGTTTATCACCTGTCACCATTAGGGGCAGGTTGACCACCCTGGTCTTTTTCTCCAGGGCTAATGGTTACTTTGACCCTACTGTTGACTTTAGAGTCAAGAGGGTGCTGGAAGGATGGTCCAGAGAGTCTACTATGTCAAAGGACGTCAGAAGACCAATAAATGGCCCTGTCCTAGCCATGTTATGGGAACAACTGACCCCAAAAAAAATGCTGTTCACCCGAGGAATTGGCTTTATTTAGGGCAGTATTTGCTATTGCATTTTTTGCTGCCCTCAGAATCAATGTGATTGTCCCTGGTTCCAGGAATGATACATCGGGCAGGGCATTACTGATTTCTGACATTAATTTAACTGACCATGGCATACAGATGTGCATTAGACAGTCCAAGACTGACCAGTTTGGTAAGGGGCAGTCTTTATTCTTGGCTAAGGCCCAACAGGGTCAAATCTGCCCAATAGTGGCAATGGATAGCTATTTAAGAATCAGGCCTAAGGTGCCTGGATATCTGTTTCTTCATTTGTCTGGTTTGCCCCTAACATAATTTCAATTCAGGGCAGTGTTAAAAGAAGCAGTTAGGAAAGCTGAGCTGCCCATGGAATCCTTTTTGTCGCACTCCTTTCATATCGGAGCTGCGACAATTGCTGCCACGTGTGGCATGAGTGAAAGTTATGTTTACAGGATTGGCAGATGGCGCTCATGCGCTTTTAAATCCTGTGTTAGACAATCGGGTAATGTGACTCTCGATTAACTTTACTGACTCTTTTCCTTTATTCCAGCTTTTTTTAGCCCGGGTGATATTTGGATCATTGGGCATAGCCTGGTGGCTTGGGTGGAACATTTCCTGAAGGAGTATCATTACAACACTTCTTTGGGCTTGTCTAACCTTGGTCACACGATTTGGTTCAGCAAGAGAGGCATGAAGTGGCCATCTCTTGTGCCTTCAATGAAGCAGCTGATTCACTCGCGTCCTCAACCCTGGGCAGTGGTGGTTCACCTGGGGGGGAATGATCTGGTGCACGTGCCTTGTTTACATAAATTGTTAGGGATTTAGACGAATTACAAGCAATGCTTCCTCTAGCAAAGATAATCTGGACTAAGCTGGTGCCCAGACAATCCTGGTCTGGAGCACAAAAAGATTCTGCCATCAACAATGCACGGCGGTGGCTTAATTGTTTTGTGTCTAAACAATTGTTGAAGAAGAGCATGTTTGTTATTCAACATGCTATTAGGCTGGACAAGCTACAAGTGTACAGGGATGATGGGATACACCTCTCCAAGGAAAGGGCTGTTGTTATATGTTGGAGCTTTCTGATCAAATATATGAAGCCATCTGGGAGGGGGAGTGGATACCTAGCTGGGCTGGCTCTACTCTTGTGGCAGGGAATGACCCCCATCCCACAGATAAAATTAATTTGGCTAGTTAAATTGGGAAGAGAAATAATTTGGCTCTAAACAAATTTACAGGAAATTACATAATTAATAAAAGATTTACGCCATGACAAATTATGATGTCATATGACATTATATGACGTCATTTCCGGGGAGGGTTTTTTGGTTATTTGTTTACCTAATTGTTTATTTATTTCCAGCTAAAATTGTTGATAATTATTGTTTTGCCATGGGATGTGAAGGACCACCCTTAGGTGGATACACCTTCACTTACACCAGTGGCAAAAATGTTATAATAATAATTTAATTATTTGGCTTGACTCTGTACAATTTAATAAAAAATTGTGGCCTGTTTTAAACCCATAAAAGGAGTCTTGTGTCCTTTGTGCCAGTACAAAGGTATATGTACTGAAGTTGTGCCAACATGCTAATTTATTTAAGATTTTTAATTGATTAAAAAGGAAAGGATTAATTACCTAAATTGTTAAATCATCAGCCTTAATTTTTTTTCTAAATCCAGTTACCATAATTTAATACCACCTTCCATCATTTAACAAAAACATTCAGTTTTAGCAAAATTGATCTACCTATGCCTCTGAATGCATATTTTATTAATAATGTGGATGGTGGTGGGTTGAGTCATGAGTATTCATTGTTTTCTGAACATTCTTAAATTGTTTTCTCTTCCTCTACCACCTTTGGCTGCAATTGCTGCTTTGTCTGTTATTGCTTGTTTGTTTAAGGAGTTGTGTTTATTTTGACGTTTTAATTAACATGTTTTAATGGTAATATTGGTTTAATACTTTTTAAGGGGTGGGAGGGTTTTGGGATTTTTTGGATTGTATTTTAATATATTGTATGGAATTTTAACTGCTGTAAGCCACCCTGATTGTTTGACAGAGGGGCGGGATACAAATAAAATTTATTTATTTATTTATTATTTTCTGCTTTTTCTTTTTAAAAACAGGGATAGTATGTGTAAACTATTGTAATGAAGAACAAAGATAACAAGGATGTAAATTCATAAGTCCATTGCCCAATGAAAGAAATCTTGTTCATTTAACAATGGACATTTTCATACACACAGCTCTAAAGCTGGCTGGAAGCTGCCTGGAAGCAAAGAAGAGCCATTCCGGCGGTGAAAACAGCAGCCGCCGGAGTGGCTCCTGATTGCTTCCGGCAGCAGCCCCTGTAATTCCTTTTTAAAAAAGGAATTAGAAAAACGGGGCTAAAGCCGGCCAGCGCCGGGGATGGCACAGGGATGGCACTGGATAGGGCGGGGCTTGCTGCGACGTCGTATGAACACGCGCAGCAAGACCCAGGAGGGACGCCGGATAGCGCCAGGGATGGCGATGGATGGGGCGGGGCTTCCTGCGACGTCGTGTGAAAAATTTGACAGTGGAGCCGGAGTGGGGCCGGACGGAGGCCGGCTAGCGTCCTCCTAAAACCCCGTGTGAAAACGTCCAATGCCAATCTGCTCTGATTGACTAACTGATTAATTCTTTAAGAGCACAGTTGTACAGAAGTAAATCTCATTGAGTACAATAGACTTTACTCCCAGGTGACTGTGTATAGGACTGCATTTCATGTACATATGAATGTCAATACCATAATTCTTTTGAATTGCAAAACTATTTAGAAGTTTCATATTTAACATATAATAATACATGAAAATATATCTCTGCAAAATAATAAAATCGATATTTCTTGTGGTCCATGAAATTTTGCAGTTGGAAGTGCTCATATAATGATTTGTTTAAAGAAACAACTGCTTCCTGTTGGGTGGTGACTTTTTTTAACCCACCAGAAGGGTTTTAGACCAATCAATCAATGAAATGTTTCAGCCATATTAAGGGCAAAAGGAACAAGTAAACTAAATGCTGAATAAATGTGTTATGGATTCATGAGACTATGAGCCAATTCATACAGGACTAGAATAATATATTGTGCTTCAGAAAGAGAACACACAAAACACTCATGTGTTATTCTGACAGCTACCAGCAATACTGGCATCAATAGTAAACATCTGCTACTTTTGACTTCCAAGGGTCTTTATATTCTTCTCCAAAGTTACTCTTAACTGTTAGGCAAACTGTTTCCTGGAATATTTACCCAGAACATATTTCATATGTACATGCTTAAATAAGTGGAATTGAAGCAAACAGATGTGCAAGCCCTGATGTACACTTTTTAGAGTTGATCCTCAGTGGGCCTGACATTTTAAATGGAGATGAAATTCCCATTAACTTTCAGCAAGCTATTGACTTTTAGCATACATAGTCAGTCACTGCTGGTTGACAAATATTATTAGAAAGAGAAAGTAAGCAACAAATAGAAGAATTTGTGGTTTCCTATGTTGAACATATTTCCACTGTAGCATCTGAACAAGAGCCAGTGTGGTGTAGTGGTTTGAGCATTGGATTATGATTCCAGAGACCAGGATTCAAATCTCTGCTTGATCATGGAAACCCATTGGGTGGCTTTGGGCAATCACACTCTTTCAGCTCAGTGGCATCACTAGGGTTAGTGTCACTCAGTGTGGTAACTTGTGGTGCCACACTCCCCCATTGACCCTCTTGCATACCACACCATAAAGAATCCTTAGTAATGTTTTTGTACTAATGTTACTCATAAATTATAATTTCTGTATATTACTAAATGTAAAGAGAATAGTTGCAACACAAACAACCAGCAAAATTAAAATTGTACCTTTAAATTATAATATCATGCATACAGCCTTTTCATGTGGTTAAAGTGAAAATTTGGTAAGATGTGATGTTTTTCAAAGAAAAATGTAAAAGAATAAAAATTTAAATAAAATTTTAATAAATAAAATAAAATAAATACGATTAAAAACCCTGATGCCTCTCCTTTTTCCTCCCACTGAGCCTCACACCATCTCTTCTGCTGAGTTCCAGCATTTTAAAGAAACACATACAAGCACCATAGCCTGTCTCTGCAAAAAGATAGATATTTGGGGAGCAGTGGTGTCACCCCCTTTCAGATGTCACTTGATGCAGCCTGACCCCTGCATAGCCTCTAATGATTCCCCTGTTTCAGCCTCAAAGGAAGGCAAAGGCAAACTTTCTCTGAACCAAACAGGGTCACAATAAATCAGAAACAACTTGAAGGCACATATCAAGAACAGCATATGAATAAGGTACAGTGGTGATGAAAGGTTCTGAAGACATGCCTGGCTGGGGGAAATGGTTATTTACTTATCAGACAAGGAACATGCATTATTACTCCTATCCTGCTTTTATGTGGTGGGATGGGAGCATGAAGACATCATAAAGTGAAAATATAGCAATATGATGATTAACTTCTAGCCATTGTACTTTGTTTTGCTTTGCAACTTCTTTTTCTTTTTAAAAACTGGTTCCAACTAAGGATGTCATTTTCTGCTTCTTCCACATTTATATTTTGTGAACTTTTAAACATTCTCATCAAAGTTGAACTAAGTGCCGACACAGACTGGATCTAAAAGCTGGCTTCCTGGTGGCTTGGAGGCATAGATTTAGATGCCACACACCCGGAAGCCACCCTGGAGCTGCAGCGGGACATCTTAAACCTGGCCCAAATAGGAACGGATCTCTTCCACTCCTATTTGGGCCAGCTTCCTGGTGGATTGGGGCTGTGGCATGTGCTTTTTAGAAATTTGACTGTTGGGGGATGCAGATGGACGGCCCTGGGCCACCCCTGGGAGCAGAGGATTGGGGCCGAAACTGCCAGATGCCTCAGCCCCGATCCTCTCTTTTGCTGGCCCAGAATAGAGCAGCAAAATCCCTTTCCTTTCAGGACTGGCAAAAGGCCACCTTAAGTGCCAGCACGTGGCTCTTTAGTGCCTCTTCCGGCACAGTGCATCAAACGCTGCACTCGAAGGATGTTCTGATGCTGCACACCATGCATAATGGCACACAGCATCAGGATGCCACCAGCATGGGGTTGGGGTGCCTGGCATGCAGTTGCCCCTCCCCATCTCTGCCTCCAGGCTGGCCCTTTGGGCCAGTCTGTAAGGTCCTGTGTTAGCAACAATGCTAAATGATTGTGTTGTTGTGAACTTGGTCTAGATAGATATTAAGAAAGAAAAGGCCAGAGCGGTGAGGTAGTGCTGATAACCTAAAAGAAAAGCAGCTTTTACAGTGAATATCCTATATGTTTCTCAGTAAGGGAGGGTTCTGGGCCTTCACTTGTCCAAAAAGGTCAGGAAGTGTATCCTCAGAGGATACTATGTCAATGTCTTCACCTTGCTGAAACTGGAGGGGGAAGAGTGTTGTTCCCCTGGGTCCAGCAAGAGGGGTAGGCGGGAAAGCAAGGGGATCCCTGCAGAGTGGTCCTTCACCAATTAGATGATGATGATGATGATGATGATGATGATTTTATTATTTATAGCCCGCCCCTCTGCTCAGCAATCGGGGCAGGTTACAACATATTAAAAGAACAACAAAATTAAAAAACATTCCCTCGGTCAACAACCCTCCCCCCGGTTAAAACAGAATTAAACTTGAAGAAGTAAAATACTACAATAAAATTAACAACAACAATAATAATATGAAATAGGCGAGAAGATTAGGGACAGAATAAGATAACTCAATTAAAACTCATGCCTCTGAAGATATTATTCTGGGAAGGCCTGTCGGAAGAGATCCGTCTTTACTGCTTTCTTGAAAGCAGCAAGTGTCAAAATAAGACGGATCTCGTCCGGCAGGCCACTCCAAAGTCTAGGGGCAGTTATGATGGGTTATTCCATTCACATAGGGGTGGTCACCATGTCCTATCCTGAGAGAGGCTGGTACTTCAACAACCACAAGATCAATGTCCTCAAGGTGCAAGATATTGCTGGGGAGGTGGCAGCCATCACATGTGATGCTGCCTTCTGCAAGTGGGCTTCACAAAGCACCAATGCCAGATGGAACCTTATCAAAAATCCTATCTGGCTTGTCAAGGTGAGGGCCCACAGCAAGTCAAGTGGGGAACCCTCCTATTCATACAAGTGGGCAGGAAAGAAGGATCCCCATGGGCTGCAGTGCTGGGAGTTTAAACTGGGCAAATATGTGAGAGCGCAGTTCAAGTTTGCTGTGTGCCCCAACCCATGCCAAGCTGGCCTGCTCATACTCAGCCAGCATGTAGCAGCCCTTTCACCTGGGATGCTTCAGCTTGGCAGCCTCCAGAAGGAATGAGGGAGGAACAGGCTCCAGATATGAGGGTTGGAATGTCTGAAGTGAGCCCCTCATGGCTGCCCGGGCACCCTTTGACCTTGCACCCACCCCTGCTCATCCTTCTGCACTGCTTCCTCTCCTCACACATTACCCAGACAGGAAGGCAGCTGCCTTCCAGACAGCAAGTTTCACTCAAGATTTCAGAATCCCCATGGTGGGCCCCAGGGTGGCCGCTGATGCAGCCAAACTGAAATCCACTAGGGACATGCCACAGGTCCTCATGGCCAAAATCAAGAAGGAGTTTAAGGCTGGCAAGGGGGCTGCCCATTTGATTCCCCTCCCTTGCCCAGTCTCCAGGTGCCTCCCCTGGATGTTGTGCCTAAGAAGGCACTAGGAGAGTTCCGCATCATTCACCTACCTACCCCCAACCCTGGGGGTCATCCGTCAATGATGCTATCCAACCGGAGCTGTGCTCAGCACATTATACATCCTTTGACCATGCTGTTTGACTTGTGTAGGTCTGTGGTGGAGGCCCCTCTTGTCACACCCAGCAAAAGGTTCTTTTTAGGATCAGGAAGTGTTAGGAATCCCAGAACAAGTGACAAGCAAAAAAGGCATGGAGAGACCAAATTTGGTTTTATCCACTATGCATGTTACATTTATTGAAACAAAACAATATAACAAAAGACCTTAAGTATCGAGAGCTCTTTTCATTCATTCACACATTTATACAACATACTCACAACAAGGCCTTTCTCTGAACGCTGATCAGACGTTCCCAAGGCTGGATGACACCGTTGTTGCGGTTCCAATGCCAAAAAGATGAGGCTGGAAAACTCCCTCTTTTTATACATTGTTCTTCTCCCTCTTGAAGAAAACATGTTTTCCTTGGTTACCATGGTTTCATAACAGTCTAGGCCATTGCCCATTCCTTACATTCTTTGCAACTCAGGGTGCATCCTGTTCTAGCAGAACTTCTCCTGGCCATGTCAACATCCATCTTATTGTATATCAGTAGTTTTCTTATTCCTCCCCTCATTGTCCAAGTTCCTCCTCCAGCAATCCTTTGCATGGCAACCATTTTCTTTGGTTCTTTCAAGGCCTTATTACATCTGGAGACCATTCAGGAATTCAGCTATTCACTCACACTCTTATTCAAATGTGACATCCAGTCGACATTCTGACTGTTGCCCATCCACCCTGACAATTTCTGCCTCTTGGGTTTCAAGTTTGTGGGCCATGGATTGCTCAATAAGCTGTGCAGCTTTTGAGTCTTTCAGTTCCTTCCTCAAGTGGGAAGTGAAAGGTCATCAAATGTCCCCTGTGGTGACACACTACCTTGATTTTTAACTTTTAATTCTTGAGGCTGGCACACAGGGCTGTGCCAAGCTCTTGACAACTTTTCAGATACTGGCAGCAGGATTGGGGATCCCTCTAGCAACTGAAAAGACTGAGGGTCCCACCACCTCCATCATCTCCCTCTAAATCCAGCTGGATTTAGTTGCAGGTGTTTCTCATCTCCCAAACGAGAAACTCTGCTCCCTCCTCTCCATGGTACAGGCTACTCTCGCAGACCACAAGGCCATGCTCTGGGAAGTCCAGGAAATCTTGGGGCACCTCAATTTCATATGCAGGATGGTTTTCCCAGGTAAGGCCTTCTGTGCCCACATCATCATCACACCATCACATTCGTCTCACCAAGGGCATCAAAGAGGACCTCAGATTGTGGGAAGAATTCCTCAGGGACTTCAATGGAGTGTCACTGTGGCAACACCTATAGGACCTTGGCTGAAGTCCACTCTGATGCATCAGGATTTTGGGGTTTTGACTCTTCTTCCAGAGACATTGGTTCACCCAATGCTGTCCTCCCCAGTGGCAGGAAAAGGGCATTCTCGTGGACCTCACCTTCCTTGAGTTCTTCCCTATTTTGGTAGCTGTCCATGTCTGGAAGGAGGCCAGGCAGTGATCAACGTGCTCAAACATCAAATCTCCAAGTCAGAGCGGGTCATGCTTCTGGTGTGACACTTTGTCCTGCTGTGGCTGTGCAACAACACCATGTTCAAGGCCCGTTTCATATGGGGCTTGGAGAATGAAATCTCAGATTCTCTCTCTCATTTTCAGGAGACCAGGTTCTGACAGCTGGCAGCAGTGGAAAATCCCTTGCTCACACCTTTCCTAGAGGAAATGTGGGAGGTTGGACACTTGCTGTGATGCAGGTCATCCTGTCTTCATTGGCCCAAACTACCCTCAGAGCCTACAAGAGGACAGTGTCCAAGATTTGCACCCTTTTGTGGTCATCAGGT